GTATACATAGATATAATATTTTAAAAGAAAAAATTTAAATTAAAAATAAAAGATTACTCATTTTGAATGATATAATGTCTTTATCTCCAGACAAAAATAAAATATTTTTTTCTAAATTTTTTCTCTTTCTGCTAATTTTCTTTAGGAATACATATATTTACATATAAATTTTTCAAAATTATTTTTTTCCATATTTTTAATGATGATTATATTTGTGTAAAATTTAAAAATTGTTTATTAGTCATTAATTTATTTAAGTGTTATTTACGTAAATTTTTTTCTGTTTTTCATTTCCCCTAGAGTAAAATTATTTTTTAAATATATAATTGCTTTGATATATAATCCCCTAAAGGGAATTAAAAAATAAATTTTATATAATTATTTTTTATTATTTTAGCAACTTTACACACATTATTCATCAAAGTTGTTATTAAGTACATATATCATTAACCGGATGTGTAGATTTAATATTTCTTTAAAGCGTTTGAATGAGGTCGGAAAAAATATTTAGCCAAAAACCGGTCTCAGAGTGTGCGGACATATCGGGACGGACATATAGGGATTGGGGTGACAAAAATACTTTCTTGCGTGTTTACGTTTGTTCTAAAACATAAAAACTCTATTCATCAATAAGACAATATACTATCCAAGACCCTGTGGCCGTAGGTCCCGAAATAAGTAGGGTAACTGTTCGCACATTGAAATAACCCGATATGTCCGCGTGCCGGTCTCAGTTACTTAAAATCTCGGGGAGATGGATAGTTAATTTTTTACTATGCTAATTTAAATTTTAAAGCTAACTAAAAACAGAAAAAAATTAGAAAAACAATTTTTAATTTTTGTTTTAATACATTTAAATCCCTAAATATATTTTTATTTAAATTGAATTTTTTCAAATTATGTAAAGGTAGTATAAGATTTTAAAGTATTATTTTATTTATTTATTTTAATTGTTCCAATTAATTATTACATTATTAAAGGTCTTTATTTGGCTTCAGTTTTTCATTAGTTTATTGAAGATTTTGTTTATTTTTTCTAAATATTAATATACCTACCCTTTAATTTATTTATATTTCTTTATTTTCTAAGAATTCTTTTTAAAAATAAAACTAATTTTTAAAGATTAAGATTAAATATTTGTTAAGTCTTTAATTTATTTTTTCCTAAGAAATAATTCTAACTAAATTTATTTAATATTTGTTACCTAAATAAATACATAGTTTTCTATCTTTCTCCATATTTTCTAAACAAATTGTTGACATCAAATTTTTTTTGAACTTTAAAAATAATTATTAAACAAGGAAACCCTATAATTATTTAAATTTATTTAATTGGGTTTTAAATAAAAAGGGGACTTCAATTTGTTTTTAAAGCTTTGAGGATTTGACGGACTTTATTTAAAAAAATAAAAATTATTTATTTAAAATATATTCCAATAATTTTATAATTATTTTTCTTTAAAAAATAATTTTATTTTTAAAGACTTTTAAATGACGTTTTTTAAGGAATTTTAAATTAATATTTTGTTTGTTTTGACAATTTCAAGTCTGTTGAATCTTTTGTTATTTTTTATTTCCTTAAATGTGCCTCTTTATTTTAGTTAATTTAGCTTAAAATTAAAAATTTTTATTAAATTTTACTTTATCTTTAAAATTTAGAATTTTTTAAATAACATTAATCACATTTTTTTATTTTTTAGTATTCATTTCATCAAGATTTAAAAATTTACAAATTTTTTAAAATAATTTTTCGATGGTCCAATTTCTTATTTATAAACATTATTTGTTTTACAAGTAATAATTATTATTTAAAAAAATTTTTTATAAATTTAGATTAAGCAATTTTTAGTTTTTCTCCTAAATAAAATATTTTTATTTTTGTTATTTTTAAATTGAAAAACCACAAACATTTATTTTTAATATCAACATAAAAAAAGAATTTTTGCAATATTAAATAAATAAAAATAATTTTCTTTTAGAAAATATACCAACATTTTCTATTCAACAATTAAATATAAATAAACTAGTAATTTATTTCTTTGACGTTAATTTATTTAATTGTTAATTTAATTAAAAATTTAAATATTTCTCTAAAAAGATATTTAAAATTATAGGTTAATATAATAATTAATTTGTGAGTTTGATATTATATATTTGACCAATTTTTTTATCATTTTTATTAGAAAAGAAAATTCATAGAAAATTTATTTTAAAAAATTTACTGTATTTTCTAGAAAAATTTTGTTTAAATAATTAAATATTAATTTATTTTACATTAAAAATTTTTATTGGGTCCTAAACAAAATTTCAAAAAAGTTTTCTTAGGATTCTTCAATTAATCTTGCATTATTTCTTGTTTATTAAAATGAATTTAGAAAGTTAAGTTGAGGCACAGATAATGATCCCCCTAGAGTTGAACGGATTAAATATTAAAATTCAACAAAGTGTTATCAGAATTCAAATTATTTTTTTTTGATTTTTTAAACTTTCAGAAAATGATTGAGAATGCATTTCAAAACAAATTAAGTAAATTTGAGACCTCAGAGTTGAGATATAAATTTCCAAACTTGTATTATAGTTAAAAGAAGGCTTATTATTTATGCCTCAACCTAACTAAATATATTTTTAAAATAAGTTTTAGATAATTTTTATTTTTCATTTATTTTCTTAAATAAATTTCATCCTCGAATATTTTTGAAGAAATTCAAAAAAATTTTTTTCTTAAAATACATATATCGTCTCAAAATACTCTAAATAATATTTTTACTATAAATAGAAACTTAAAATATTTAAAATATATTTTTATAAATAATTAATAAATAAGAAAATCCATTAGTCTTAATTTACTTCCTTCCATTTTATTTAAAATTCTATAGGTTCTTTGAACAAAAATTAGAGTATTTTGATAGATTTTAATAAATAAAACTAAATTTGTTCTAAAAAATATTTTTTTTGTTTTTCTATAATTTTTTTTGTAATTTATATTAGCTTAAATGAAAGACAAAGGAAAAAAACAATTTTTCGTGAGAATTATTTTAAATAATTGCTTCTTAGTTTCAGGAATATTTTTTTGTTTGTTTGTCTTAAAAATATTTTTATTATTTATTCCTTTTTTATGTAAATATTTTTTTGTTTTTAATTTAAAAATTCTATTTTTATTTTTCACCCACGTAGTTTAATAAGAATATTTTTTTATTAAATTTATATTTTTATAAAATATTTGTAATTAATTAATTAATTAATTAATTAATTAAAGATTTATTTTAAAATATATATTTGAAGTTTATTTTAAAGGCTATATACCAGGGATGTCAATGGTTGAGAAAAATGTCGGGTCGGGTATCGGGTTTGGGTAACCCGTGACATCCCTGCTATATACACATATCCCTTCTTCTGGGGCGGTATGCAAAAAAGCGGGTTGCCTGGTAAGTCTAGCAGGTTCTATTACTCGGGTAATAGAACTCTCAGTTGAGGGCTAACCCTTATTCAAAAAAAATCGACCCAGAACTCGATGATTACCCGCAGCTGCCTATTGGAGAGAATGAGCCCCTTTTTTGCTCAAAAATGGGGCACTTTACGCGAAAATTTATAGTAAATTTAATTTTTAAAAAAAATTTTTAAAAATTATATCAAAAAATAGAGCACACTCTATTCTATCTAAAAATATTTAATTTGGAATTTTCCGATTGAAATTGGATTTTTAAAAAATTTTTAAAGAGATGCGAATAAGATTTTAACCCTCATCGGAGCAGGGTTAAAATCTTACCCGCAGCTGCGGGTTCTATTACCTGCAACCCTCATTTTTGAATAAGGGTTAGAACCATACCCGCAGCTGCGGGTTCTATTACCCGAGTAACTAACCATAGCTGCAGGTTACCCCTACCTCCATTTTTGAATAAGGGTTCTGGGTTAACCTACCCGCAGCTGAGGGTTGGTTAACCCCTACCTCCTTTTTTGCATACCGCCCCTGACATACTTCAACTTTTTCAATTTAAAAACTAAAAGTTCACCTTTAGATTTTCTTTAAAAAATTTTATTTTCTAAACATTTTTTTAATTACAATAAAAAATTTTTTAAATTCGTGAGAAAATTTTAAACTAAAATATTTTAATTAAATAAATAAACTTTAGTTTTTCATAATTATTAAAATAAAAAGTTTATGTGAATTGTTTAAACAATTTTTTCTTGACATTTGAATTGAATCTTTTAATCGCGTCAATGCTTTTTTTAATTTTTAAAATTATTTTTCAAGGCAAATTAACCACAAAAAATATTCTAGACTATAGTTTTTATCTGTTATTGTCTGTAGTTGTATTTTTATTTTTGTGATGGTTAATTTAATGTTTTTAAGCCCGAAAGCTAAGGGGTTCTTTAATATAATTAAAAGATTATTTTGATAATACTTACCTTTACAAAGCAAGTATTACCGAAGGATTTTATTTAAAAAATATTTTTTTAAAGTTATTTACACCATTTAAGGTCAACTTTTCTGTGCGCATTCTCCCATAAAACTTTCCCATAAAAAACAAAAGTTGTTGGCACTTGTAAATATTTAAATTGAGTTTCCGCTAAAGAGAACGTGACTTTAAGTCTAATAAACAAAATTTATTAAAGAAAAAATTTTTTTTAATTTTAATTTCCGAGAAAAAAAAAGTATATTTTGTTGTTTCCATCACGAAATTAATTTGTTTTAATTTGCATTATTTTAAAGAATTTTTAATAAAATTTATTTTATATTCTAAGGAAATATCTCTTTATTATACCTGTAAAGTCTTGGAATTATTTCGGGGAATATTTGCTAGTAATTTTTTAAATAAAAAGGACTGAATTAGGGGAAATATTAAATAATTAGTATTTAATTGAGAGACTTAACAGGAATTTTGAAAGGTTGACTAAAAATTAATTAAAAAATTCAATTAATGGAAGGGTATTGAAAAGAAAATTAATAAAATTTTAATTTTTTTAGAAATACCTAATTATTTAAAAAAATAATTTTAAAAAATGTCTTCTTCTTCTTCATTTTCCTCTCCATTTGTCAAAATTTCAACAAAAAATTCAATTCATTCAATTATTCTTTTTATCGTTTTTTCCGGAATTTTATTATTTACACCTTCAATTAATGCAAAACCTTTACTTTCTGTTGGACAAAATAATAAGTTTGTTTATAAAAAATAATTAAAAATTAAATTTTTAAATTTTAAAGTCACATTAACGAAGAAAAGAAATTTAATGACCCCCCAACTTTTCGTGGTTTTGCACCTCAAACACCTTTTCTGATGCCATATGCTAGTGGAAATGGATTTGTTTCTCCCTTTCCTTCAGGAATGGGTGATCGATGGTAGAGAAATAATTAATTTTTTTGAAATTTTTTAATTTTTTTAAATTTTATAGGGCCGGATTCCTCGCAGACCAACAATTCGGAGGGGGTGCAATCAAACGAAATTCTGATGGCCACTTTATGGAGCCAGCAGGATGGTTAGCTCTTGAAGAGCCTGGACGTTTTGAATGGAACTTTAATAGGTAAAGAAAGGGAGGGGAGAGGGGGGGAGGAATTATTTTAAAGAAATAATTTTTTTAATTTAGACTTTGATGAATTTCAATTGAAGAATTAAAAATTAAAAAAGGAAAGTCAAAAAATATTCAAAATATTTTTGAAAGTAAAAAAATGTTTTATTTTATTTAATTAGTAAATAGTCCTCTTTCAAATATTTTTTGGTTTTTGGAAGCTTTTGAATGTTTTTAAATAATTAAAAATTGAAGGAAATTAATTTAAAATTTAAATTTTAGTAAATTAAAAAAGCTTTCTCAAAAAACAAAAAATATCCCAAAAATTAATCTAAAACAAATTGTAAATAAATAAATATATTAATTACTCTAATTAATTCTTTTGTAATGATCTCTTTTAATTTTTTGAATAAATTTAATCATTTATTATTGCCGTCTCGAAATTATAATATTAAAAAAAGATTATTAAACATTAAAATAAATATACAGATTCGAATCGCGATTTTAAAACACCTCTTGTTGGAAAATAAACGAGGGGTTAAGAGATTTTAAAAATCAAAGCCGGGGAAATTTAAAACCGAAGTTCGACTGTATTTACAAAATAGCCCCGTTCATAGAGAATTTAAAAATATTTAATAAAATATTTTGGATAATTACTAATACTATGCTTAAAAATAATATATATGTACACAAAATCGGTCACCAAAAAATTAAAACAAAATATTAAACAAAAAATTAATATTTTTTATTATAATTTTGATGACCGTATAAATTAAAAAAAGTGTATATGGACCGGGGAACGAGCCGATGAAAAAATGGAATTCCCGATTTCGGGAATCGGGACGGCTCGTTCCCTGATATGGACAATCCTTATACCAAAAAAGATTAGTTTATTATTATTCTTTTTTTTATTAATTAAAATCCCAAAAACAATTTACTAAATATAATTTTAATATTAAAATTTTCCAAAAAAAAATAAATTTTAAGGCAATAATAAACTAATATACACAATTAATTTATTTAAAAAGAAATTAAAAATAAAATAAAATTAAGGATATTCATTTCTTTATTTGTAATTTTCCTTTAAATTCTGCAGGTTTTAATCCCCAAATTTCAGAACGGGTTACCATTGAAAGATCACCAATTAAACGGATTTTAGTGAATTTATTTGTTCCAGGAATTCTAACTGTCCCTATTTTACATATAAATTTATATATATTTTTTAAATTTAAATAATTACCTGTCCAACGCCCTCCATCTGCAAAAACTTCAATAGATCCCGTATCTAATAATATCTAAAAAAGAAAATTATTTATTAGCTTTTTAGAGGGGGGAGTAATTTTGGGGGAGTAGTTTTTACCTGAACTTGACTTGGTTTAGCCCCCAAAGCAATTAATCTTTGTTGTGGTTGTTTAGGGGGTCCATAAAGTATTTCAATTCCTTCAAAGGATATTTCAACCCCAACATTTGTTATTTTTGGATGCTCAATTTCCAAACGAATAAACTTTAAATTTTCAGTATTTGAATTATTTGAGGATCTTTGGTCGCTAGTAATTGGCTCTAAAATATTTGATTGGAAATTTTGAAGAGAAATTGAGATTTCTGCAGTCCCATTAGGTAAATCAACAAATTGGCCTTTTAAAAGTTGTTTGTCTAAATCCAATTGTTGATTACGCAATTTTGATATAACCCAATCAATTGGTGGTGTTAGTAATGACTTTAAAAATAGAAATATTTTACATTATGGTTAAAATTAATAAGGTTATTCAAAAGGTTATTCAAGGGTTTATGTAGTCTCCCCTTAACTTAAAACTAAAATTTTAACCCTACTTTCCACTTCACTTTTCAAAATTCGATTTTTCAACTCTGATCACACATAAACATACATATTAGCTGTGATAAATGGAATGAAGTCTCATTTATTTTATTTAATATATGTACTATATTATTCATTGAAAAATAGTGTTCTCTTTAAAAGTACCTTCCTATCAGCACTTAATAACAACTTTCTAGGTAAAATAGTTGAAGTAGGGAAATCTGGTTTAGTATCCCAATTCCAATCTTTCCAATTTGCCAACCAAGCAATTGTTAAAGTTCCCAATTCTTGACTGTAAAGAGCCTGGAAGTTTTTAAAAATATTAAAATTAATTTATTAATTAATATTTTAATTTATGTTTTTTTAATTACTTGGAATTTAAAAGTTTTTATTTATTTTTAATTATTTACTTGGAATGCATAAGCATGCGTTCCAAAATCCATTTCCTGTTCAAACATTGGAGTAAAAGTTATTCCATCAAACTTCCCCACATGTACAGTTGTTATATCTCTTCTCCCGGTTGCTGGGTCAGTACTGTTTAATTGAGCATAAATTAATGCCCATAAAGTATTTGGATCCTGTGGATTTCCATCAATTGGGGCAAGACCTATAAATTAATTTTTTTAACTCCACCAAATTTTCTTTTTAATCCCAAAACTCTTATTTTCTTTCCTTTAATCCAAAGATTATTTCCAAATATTTATTTACCCGAGCATTCAGCTACAGTCATTCCAAGACGATTATCTCTATATAAAACATTCAAAAAATGCCATCCACTTTGTGCTGTTGGGTCATCTGTCCCGTAGAGAAGAATTACTCCTCCCTGACTGTCTCTACTTCCTAGAATCATTTTCCATTTTCCATCGGGTCCCAAAATTACTTTAAAAATTTAAAAATTATTTCCTTCTATTTAATCCCCTCTTTTCAATTTATTACCGTTTGGATCACGAAAGTCTTGAGTTAAATTAAGTTTCTGAGGGCCTTCAGGAATAACTAAAAGGAAAGAATATTTATTTGTTTTAAATTTAATAATAACCAGTTTTTGATATTTCATTTGGATGTATTCCATTAATTGTTGTAACCATTTTTTGGAATTCCATTGGAATTCTTCCAATTAAAGAGTCTGTATAGAATATTCTTAATTCATTAGGGAAGGATATTGCTGATCCAGAAAATATTCCTCCAGTTGCATTTGCATCAAGTGAAGGATCAGGCAATAAAAATATTGGAAGATGTACCCAATTAACCAAATCTCGACTAACTGCATGTCCCCAATGGATTGGAGACCATTTTAATGCATGAGGATAATTTTGATAAAATAAATGGAAATGTTGACCTTTAAAAGGAAATAATTAATTAAATTTTGAATTTTGTGAAGAGTAAAGGGCAATTAACTGTTAGTATCAGATATTCTCACTTATTCTACTCCAAGGAAAATCATGAATAAGAAGGGAATTGAACTAAGTAATAGAGACTGGCTTTGAAAATTACTCAAGATTCGAAATCAAGTCTGATTTTTACTAAATGGTGAAACAACTTTATTGGAATAAGGGAGATGTGCGCGAAAGAATAATACGTTAGAGAGACAATTTTTAAAATTTTAAAATCCTTGACTTTAAAAAGGATGTCCCTAAAGAAGTTCAATCCCTATTGAATTTTTAAATAATTTTTACCAAATTTGCTAAAACCATTAGGATCATTCATCCAACCAGTTGGAGGACGGAAATGATAACCTTCTGGAACCTCCGGATTTCTAGCTGCATTGGCAATAAATGCTGGACGAATACCCAATTCTAGAACTGATTCTGGTTCATAAACATAAATATATGATACCCAAGTATCTGAAAAAATGAATTTAGATATCGTCGTAAATATATTTAGTTTTTTTGTTTTTTAATTTGAATTGAGAGGATTAATTTAACAAAATGTTGAGAGAAAAGTATAGAGATCAGTAACGGATAAGGAACTTGAGGATATCAATAAATTTAATCAAATAAGTGTTACTACATATTTTAATAAAGATAAAGATTTTTAAAAATTCATTATTAATAGTAAATGTCAGCGGATTTTCACGAAAAAGGCCTCTTTCAGATGAAAAAGAAATTTGCAAAGGAAGTTTCTTTCCAACTAAAATTTTAATTTTATTTATTTTACTACCTCCATTAAACCATTCCAAAAAAGCATTTCCTTCAATTTGTGGGGATAATTCAAAGAAAACAAAAGATTTAAATTTATTAGTTTCAGCAATTGTTGAATTTATTTGTTCATTTTTAATTTTTATATTTGCTTTTTTTAGTTGGTTTTCTTCTCTAGTTTTTAACCAAATATGTAAAATTGAAGTTTTGTATAAATTAATAGGTACAGATATTGTTTTGTTTTTATTGGGAGAAGATGAGGAATTAAACCTAAAAAAATATATATACTGTAGATGCTCTAATATAAGCCCACCCAAGGAGGCCTATCGAAAAATAAAAGCCCAATCTCCTATAAAAGCCCACTCAAGGTGACCTTTGAAAAATATAAGCCCAAAAATATTTGGAAAGCTTCATGCAATAAGTTAGGGTTTTATAAATCATCTAATGATTTTAATATTTTTAGGTGGTCTTGAATTATAAAATTAAATTTTCTATGTGAAAATAAAAACAGATGGGTATTTTAAAGCTTAAAAAAGACATAATATTTTTAATTAAAAGTCATACTTGTTTAGTATTTTTTCTTGAAATATTTTTTATTTTTAATTAAAAAATAAACTTAGATTAAATTTATTATATTTAATTTATATTTAATATAAATTTTTAAATAATTTAAATAATTAAAAATATATTTTAATTTTTACCTACAAACCCCCCAAATAATAACAGCCAAAAATAAACAAATTCCAATAAATGTCAATGCAATTATTTTTATCTTTTTATTAGAAAAACGATTATTATTCTTTCCTTCTATTTTAGCAGATAATCCTCTTTCTACTGAATTATTTAGTTTTTCAGAATTTGTAGAAATATATGTTATTGCCATTTTTTGACTAAAATAATTTTTTTGAAAAAATTAATTTTTTGATTAAAAAATAAACAATTGACAGTTTTAAAAAAAGTCATGAGAGAATAAAAAAATAATTGTTTTCCTTGTGTTACATGAGTAAATTTTTGAATGATTGTTAAATATAAAATAAAATTAAATGATAACTTTTAATTATTTCAAAAATTATTTTAACTATCATAATTTTATACAAAAAACATTACGTGAAATACCCGCATTTTTAAAAAAAAATATATGAGATATTGTAAATGTTAAAATAAGTTCCCTGGGTAATTATCGTTTCAACCTCTCGCTGGAGGGTGTAATTAGGTATTTTAGAGTGTATTTATTCGAGCATATGTCTTTAAGTATAAAAATATTTTTAAATTTTAATCATTATTTTATGCTTTTAAGTGAAGTGATATAACTTTTTAAATAAATTTTGAGAATTTTAAAGTACAATGTTCTATTTAAAATAAATAAATTTCTAAAAATAAAAAAGAAATTAAATTTTTGTTAGACTTTAATTTTTTTTAAATTTTAATGACTAGCTTTTAAATATAATTTCAAATTTTTTTACTAAACAAACAAATTTTTAAGTAAATTTAAAAAAAGGAAGTCTTTTTTTAAAGATTGCGCATCCCCGGAAAGTGTCAAAGTACTCAAAAGAAGTTGAGGTTCGCATTGGGTACGCTTTTAAATGGTTGGAGGAAAAGCAAAGAAAAAAAGATTAAATTTTAAAATTAAATTAGAAATAGAAAGGTGATTAATTCATTGATAGAAAAAAATATAGACAATGTTTAAATAAAGGAAATTTTTTATATACAGGAAGAGAATTTATATATTGAAAAATGAGAGTTATTTTAAGTAAATCTACTTTAAATTAATTCTAAAAATAAATAAATATAATCTTAAATTATTTAAGCAATTAATAAAATTTATATTCTGAACGTTTATAAAAAAATAACATAATTTAAATAATTTCATAAAATTTTGGACAATTTGGCAATAATTAAAAACAATATTACGAAAATAGTGTGAATCACTTTAATTTTGTTTTCAAAATTACACAAATGTAAAAGACAAATACATTACTTATATAAAAGTAAAAAATGTAAATTTATTGAGAAAATATGTAGAACATATTTGTTTATCAAAAAAAAATTTTTACACATTTAATGGTTAAAAATCAAATTCCTAAAATAATTTCAACAAATTGTTGAAATTTTTTCTGCTTATTTTTATCTACATTTGCGGAAATTTCCAATGCTTTTTTAAATTAAATCCAAAAACAATTTTGTGCATTGATAACTAGAGTCAAGTAAATAATTATTTACTATTTTTAGTATTTTTTAAATTTAATATTTTCCCAATTAATTTGAAATAAACTAAGAAGATTTGAAGGAAAATTAAGCGAGTCTGGTCGGATTTTAAATTAAAAAAAAATAATTCTTTTTTTAACTGTTAAGAGGAGGTTAGGAGTATTTCCGCTTTATATAAATTAATTTTCTTATCAACTTTTAGTGAAAATTAAATAAAAATAATTACAAAATTCTTTATACATAATTACATGATAATATATTTAATTATTATATAATTAACAATTTTTATTTCCGTTGTTTAACAATTTTACTTTTCATTATTATCAATAAAACAATTATTTAAAGAATTTGTACTGTTTAAAAGTTATTTACCGTATTTTTTGTATTAGAGCCCCACGTTGAATTAGAGCCCCACGCTGTAATAAAGCCCCACTTTCAAGGATAGTTGAAAAATAGAGCCCCACGCTGTATTAGAGCCCCACGCTGAAATAGAGCCCTATTTTCTAAAATTTACCTATTGTATAATAAATTATTATTTTTTAATAACTATACTGTTTTTTTTCCTTTTATCTAATGTTCTGTGCCAAATTTAGATATTATATGTGATTAAGAGAATATTTGGGGATAAAAACACCTTAAGCTGCTCCAAATCCTCTACAATAGAGGGATTTGGATGTTATAAGAGATATCAGAGATTCTTTTATATACTGGCAAGCATAGATATTGGCGAGATCAGCCTAGTTATCAGCAGATTCATCTCAGAAATCCTCCGCTATCCGATTAATCCCCAAATCATTTATACTCTCAAAATCACTCGATATCCTTATTAATCTCCAAATATCTTCTTAATCACCTTAATCCCATCTATATTCTTCAATTGGGACTGAACCGAGATATATACACGTAGTGACCGTGCGGACTGAAGCAAAATATAATCGAACCTTCAAAGGCTCGATAGGATTCGAACCATCCACAAATTAAAATTCGGCTTTAAATCCACCTCAAATCCAAATAATCGTGCCATACTGTACACGCTAACTATTAACTTTAGAAATATCACAATGGTGAAATTTGTTTTTGTGACAAATTTCACCATTTGAGTAAAAAATAGGCAGTTGCATACATATCACTGCCTTACTTATAATTGAAAATTCCCTTATATATTTTCAAAAATTGGTTGAAAAATAGAGCCCCACGCTCTATTAGAGCCCCACGTTGTAATAAAGCCCCACTTTGAAGGATAGTTGAAAAATAGAGCCCCATGGGGCTCTAATACAAAAAATACGGTATTTTATCACGTTAACCATAAAACATAAAAATCAGTCAAATTTTTTGTTTCTTTAAAGAAAAAAGGGGTCTTTTAATTTTTAAATATTTAATGAATTTAAGAAAAATATTTTAATCTTAAAAACAAATAATTGGGAATCATATTTAAAAAAAAATTAAATAATGTTAAAAATAAACGAATAAAACCCTTCATCACATTTTTATCAAAAAATAACAGAAAAGAGAAAATAATTTAAAATAAAATCAGAACATTATATAATTACATAATTTTTGATTAGAAAAAGAATTAAAAGATACAAAGACTACAAAACAGATTGGTTTTAGACGAAAAAGAAAATTTTTTATTGGAATTGTGTAGCGGATAAAGGCAACAAACAAATAAACAAAAACGAGGGGATGAAAATTAAATAAAAAAAAGAAAAAGTTA